TCTTACCCACCCATATCCTCTCAAGTCTGACTTATTTTTAAAGCTAGGTTTTGCCAAAGCAGTGCCTTCATATATCCTTTCTAAATCTAATTTTTTCCAACTTGAACCCATTACTGCGAATCCTGTTTTGGTTAGATATTTTAGCACATTTACTTACCACTTATGTATTCCTGTTTTTCCATTTATACACCTCAATCATATCCTCCCAAATTCTACGCCTTTCTAGAGAGTGCAGATTCACTGTCATCAGTTTATCCTCGTAGGAAAGATTTTTGACACACGGAACAACTTTGCCATCATTCTCTGCACTTTTTTCACAGCATTTTATGTCCTTTTTGTTATAGTGTGATCAGAATTGTGTAACAAACTAAACGAGGCCTAAGCAACGATGTACAGAGTTGAATAAATAACTCGTTTATACTTCTTGATATGAAGCAACAATTCTATTCTCTTTATTGCGAACATTTATGCACAGTTGTCATGGCTTTAGATTATGCTAGCCAGAACTCTCAAATCTTTCTCGAAATCAGTGTTATTAAGATTAAGTTAGTTTTTTAAATGCCATGGTTATTTTACTTTTCATCGCTTAGAACTTTGCATTTGTCTTTATTAAACTGCACTGCCACTTCTCCGACCACTGCAACAATCTATTCAGATCTACCTGCAGTGCTCTAGTGTCCTCGTCAGAATTAATTCGACAGCCTATTTTGGTGCCGTCAGCAAACTTCCTTATGCTGCTATTCTCTCCATTTATCCAGGTAAAAAATGCTTGCAACAACCTACACAAGTTTTGAGGGCTGGGCAGACATAGCAGGCTGGCTAAGGCTGTGTTGTAGATGCTGGCTTAACATGCTATAGTTTGGGTCAACCCCTTATAAACTAAGCAAACAAAGCTAACCGGGCTGAGCAACAAACCAAGGATATGAACTGGATGGAGTCGGGTGGCATTGGTCCAGGAGACACGATGTCCCCTCCCCTCACGAAATATCATCACTTAATCTATCCACGTAATCATAGGATTTACGAAAACACAGCTAACACCATTTGTTGAGAGGGCTCTTGCAGAGTAATGCTGGATAACAGTTGCAAAATACGTGGTCTTTTATGGTATATCTATGAAACAGCGCAGAGCCCAGCCTTTAACACATCTTTCCCAAGCCTTTACTATTTAGAACAGAGGCTGGGCAGCATAGCCCGGCAGCTCAAAGGGAAGTCAGGTGACAGTGTGGCGGTCACAGGGTCCCAGTATGGGTGAGTACTTAGTCTAAAGTACAAATTCCAAGCCACCTTTGACTGCTGAGCCTTGTGCTATAAATATCGGGTGACCAGTACCACTGGACATGTCACGCTTGATGCGAGCACATACACGGCTGTGAGGAATACACATTAATGCATCTACAAACTTTCAGATGTTATGAGCTTTAATAAAACTAAGTTTATTGCTCACTTTGAGCTGTGCAAAGTATTTGCCAATTTTAGTAAGTTATCTGCTTCTAACGTTGGTGTCTCTTAAGTGTAAGTAATTTTTTATTGTTTTTGCTCTGTGTGGGTGTTAACTTTCCAACTTTTTAAGGCAGGTATGTTAAACTAAATTTAAAATTACTCAAAATTTTATTTCTTACAGAATGGTAGAAATTTAGAAAAAATATAAATGAGAATTAAAAAAAAAAAAATCGAGTTTCTAGGAAATTCAAATTTAACGAGGACAGACTCATTACCGAAAAAAATTTCTCTTAAGCATTTAGATTCTTTGTCCGGAATTTTAGTTTGGCAGCTGAGGAATGTCTTATTCACTCTTGTGAAGGGTCAACAGCCTCGTCAGACCCTCAAAGAGAGTTTGATAAGGCCGATTCCTCCTTATGGAAATGAAGATAACTTTGATATGTAGAAACTTTATAGAATATGAAACACTTAAACATAAATTTAGTCCTACTTGAAGCAGGAATGAAATAAAAATAATCAGTGACTCAAATCTAATATGTACACAGCTAATTGATATAATTGCCGTGCTGATGTTCTGTGCACGTATCTCCGAATTGTGGTTTGCAGCACTACGCCGTTAGTGTCGACTGGGGGAAGGGGTCTCTCACCCAAAGGTGGTCATGGCTTAACATTTAAAGTAAACAGAGTGACCCCAACATGAGTAGAGATTCTGATGAACAGATGATCTAGGATCCTCTGACAACCACAATCTTTCGAAGCAGAAGAGTCGCCCATTGTGAACCACAATGAAACTTTGGTGGGGCGATAACTGGAGAATGGCTGTAGGATGGTGTAGCTGATTGCGTATTAGCTACGAGTGGAAAGGGGATTAGTTCAGGTACAGATGCCAAATTAAATCTCAGATCTGGGCATGTTCTGAGCTTTCCCTCTTATCTCGCCTGTGTCGGATGACTCGAGCCGACAATCAAGACTACAATAGAGAAACAAAAAATTACAAACAATTCGAGAAATCACTTACATGACAACAGTGCACAAGCGTTCGCAATAAAGCTAACAGAATCCTTGGCTTCATATCAAGAAGCATAAATAATAGAAGTCCTCAGGTTGTTCTTCAACTCTATATATCTTTCGTTAGGCCTCATTTAGATTATGCTGCACAGTTCTGGTCACCGCATTACAAAAATGGATATAAATGCACTGGAGAAACGTCAGAGGAGGATGACAAAGTTGATCCCATGTATCAGAAATCTTCCATATGAGGACAGACTGAGGGCCCTGAATCTGCACTCTCTAGAAAGGCGTAGAATTAGGGGATAATATGATTGGGGTGTATAAATGGAAAACAGGAATGAATAAAGGGGATGTAAATAGCGTGCTAAAAATATCTAGCCAAGACAGGACTCGCACCAATGGTTTTAAGTTGGAAAAATTCAGATTCAGGAAGGATATAGGAAAGCACTGATTTGGTAATAGAATTGTGGATGAGTGGAACAAACTCCCGAGTACCATCATAAAGCTAAGACGTGTAGTTTTAAAAATAGGCTAGATAAATACACAAGTGGGTGTGGGTGGGTGTGAGTCGGACTTGACTAGCTGGTGTTATTGGGTCAGATGCCGTGCTCCTTCCTTAAGTGGAGGTGACCTGACTGGAGGTGACCTGAATTAGAATAATAAAAAAAAGAGTAAAGCTCTTGTTTAAACCAAATCACATTATATATTATTAAACCGGAGTGGATTAGATACTTACAGACTTGATGGGAGCCGAAAGTCAAGTGACTGTCAACTGGTCGGAGGGACACACGTCAACTCCCGCTAGGTGGAGAAATGGTGGGACTAGTGGAAACGATGCACACACCTTACAAAACAAACATACTGCCCAACAAGCTGCCACTAACATTAATTCATACTTCCACGCGTATCTAATGAACTTTTCCCTCTCAAAACTCGTCTTCAAATTTTTAATGCTCTTTTACTAGGGCAAGATTCACAGGACTTTTTTTTGCATGTGAGATACAGTTGGTCTTACATAGATCATTCCCAGATGTAGCTTCCATATTATAAGTGGAGAAAGCTTTCTGTAATTGGCTTCAATATTTCTGTGCATGAATATCCTACACCATAGAAAGTTTTACATTGTTAATGGAGTGTGTAGGTGTCATTTTGTAACTTTTATTTTCGAAATAATAATATTAACCCGTTAACGGTCCAAACGTATATATACGTTTTTTCAACATTTGAAAGATATGTAAAAAAGTAGATCTTTTTATTTTTACATTTGAAAATGTCTAAAAAAACTTTGATCTACTTTTTTTGTTGTTATATTTGAAAATATGTAAAAAAAACGTAGATCTACTTTTGAAGCGCTACACATGTGAACGTAGATCTGCTTGGACCGTTTCCGGGTTAATTTAATTCACTGCATTATTTTTAAACCCCTATTGGTTTACTGTTTTTCCCAGATTAAAATATAACAATTATGAACAACATCAATTGTTAATGACTGATTTATCTAATGAAATGGATGAATAATTTCTTTCTTTCAGGCGGTGTAGGTGAACATTTCGTTGGTTTCTGAGCAACAGCTGGAGAATGCCTCTCTTGGTCGGTCTTAAACTTTTAATGCTAATGTGATTTTAAGTTGTGTAAGTTTTAATGTTTCAATTTTATTAATCAAATTAGTTTCTGTGAAGTAACTGGATAATGTTTCTTCTGATCAGAAATATATCAGTGTTTGACTTTATTGGTTTTCCTTGGTTATATCTACATAACGTTCATTTAATTAACCAACTTAATTACATGAATACTTACGCCGGTAAACCTTCCTTAGAGAAAAGCTGCATTTATTTTGGCCGGTGTTGTTCCCAATTTGCCTTTTTTTTTTTTTAGAGACAATATTGAAATTTTGGTTTTCATGCAATTTTTTTTGAGTTCCTTATGAAATTGCCTCCACCTTTCAATGTTGATCGCTTACTAGTTCATATTGTGACTGGCGACGTACTTAAGGTGCTTTCTGACACAACAAGAGAATTCATAAAGGAAAGTTTAAATTAGTCTGGGGCTGTAAATGTTCTAATTAATCATTTGATTGATGAAATTGGAATATTAATGTTCTTGTGATAAACTGTGAGGACCAAATGTGATTTGCCTTAGATTTACAATGGTAATACAGTGGTACCTCGGTATACGACCAGCTCCCAACTCGAACAGTTATGTAAGTGTATTATTGTAAGTGCTTTTGTAAGTGTATTTTTGGGGGTCTGAAACAGATTAACCTACTTTACATTATTCCTTATGGGAACAAATTCGTTTGGTACTCGAACAGATCGGCATACTGAGGTACCACTATATTTAACTGCCATACTCTGCACTAAATATTTCCGAGCGCATTGATGGACAGAGTTCTGGGTTAGGCAATACAGCAATACCATTCTGGGATCGCTCACCGACCGATGTAAATCTAGTTATCATTATAAATTGACCAGGCTTGTGTCCTGGTTTAATTTCATCTTTCTCTTTACATTATTTTATTTAATTTTACCTTTTTTTTCCCCTCACAGATGGGACGAACAGCAGGCCGACTGTTTTGTTGACATATGCGATGCTCGTATGAAGTATGACCATGAATATCTGGGCAACACTACGCGCCTGGTGATCACCCCACTGACTGACCGCTGCTACATTACTCTCACTCAGGTACTACACTGAGCATTCCAAACGCCACAGATTTTATTATACCCACTGACACTAGGCTTTCACTCCAGTTTTGATATCCTTTCTTCAGTACTTGTTGCAACCATTATATATTGTTTCTGGTAATTTTGATAGTGTTTTCCATCTGCTATTTCATTTTAAATTTCTACTTTTGTCTGAGGTTAAGCGTATGTATGCCATTCTCAGATCGTCTTTCACTATGCTCTATATTTTTAAGTACTCGCTTGTCATTTCTCAATAGGATGTTCGATTGGGTGTTACTGTGTTTCACTGTTTCTAAGACACAGACAAGTGACTGTTACGCATACACACACACACACACACACACACACACACACAACACACACACACACACACACACACACACACACACACACCAGGCTCCCCTGCAACCATAGCTAGGTGAGTACACACACACACACAAAGCCGGAAAAGAAATGGGAACAGGAGAAGGAGCGGTTGCTTATTATTCATAGGCTTCATGAGACAATAAAAAAAACGGACCTATGGCGAAAGAAGACATGGGGAGATCAAAAAGAATAACACGAGGGAAGGACATGGCCCAGCTGACAAATTTTCAGACACTTGGGAGGGGGTTATTCGAGGGAAAATAATACACGAAGTCAAACTGACATTCAAGATAGAAATGGAATAAAAAAAAAAAGATCCAGGAGCAGAAATCACTGTTAAACGACTCTCAAAAGATATCAGCGAGTCCAGCCTTTGGGCGAAGACCTACTTACACTGGTACAGGGACTGGCGAACGTTTTTGGGTATTACTCCAAAACAAATTTGTGTAGAGTTAAATTGCCCACTAGATTTGAAAGTCCACAGAATCCGGAAAAACAAGGAGCATTAAAATTCAAAATAATTTACTGAATCACTTTTCATGGACAATGTCGTACAAACTAAGAAGTATGTATTATACGCGATAAAGCAACTTTAAAAACAAAGCACAAAATTAACAAAATAATAAAATGAAAAATAAAGTTCATGAAATGAAAAGTATTAACAGACGAATTTAATAAAAATCTCATTAAGGAACTAAAGAATTTCATTGAAAACATTTTAACTTCAGGTTATGGAGCAATGATGTTTCATTTTTGATACATCATCAAAATTAGTTTTTTTTATATCAGAGCAATTTGGATACTGTTTTCGGCGTTCAGCCGATTTCTGGACTTTGTTTTTAAGTTAATGAGAGTGGAAAAGCCTGGTTCGCAAAGACAGGTAGTTGCAAATGTATGCAATTTTGAAAGCCTTTGCAGGTCTTGACATCCAAAAAATGAACAGGACTGCATTGTTCTGAAAGTCAATGTTTGCTTCATTGTTGGAATGAAGTTCAAGAAGTGCCTCTGGCAATCCTTCAGGCACTTCTGGCACATCAGCAGTTTCACACTTGACGGGATTCACAACCCAACTCTCAGTATGTGAATCAAAATCTGGAAAGTAATCAGAGAACAGCTTTCTGACTTTGGTAAGTTGTCTTGTTACTGGATCCTTGATGTTACCAAAAGAAAGATCTTCACAATCTTCCAATAACACAGCTAACTTTGGAAAAGCAGCTATTTTGTTTTGTTCTACTTTCTGGCTCCAATACAGAAGCTTCGATTCATATGCTGTAATAACATTGATGTTTCTCCATTGCAATACATTCACATACCTAAAGATGTCAGCTAAATATGGAAGATGTGCAACCCAAAAGGAGTTTGTTAACATATCTGCGAGGATATGGTTTTGATCAACCAGAAAAAATTCAAGTTCAGTTTTGAGTGCCCAAACTCGATTCAGAACATTTCTGGTGAAAGCCGCCTGACTTCTGTGGGATAAAGTAGGTTTGAATATTCAGCCTCTCCATCCTCACATAATTCACGAAATAGCCGTTTGTTTAGTGCATGTCCTTTGACAACATTGACAGTCTTGATAACATCGTGCATGACGGCTTCCAGTGCAGGTTCCAGATGCTTCACAACCAGTGCCTGGAGATGGATCATACAGTGGGTAAATTCAATTTCCTGATTCTTCTCTCTGCCAAAGCCAAAAAGCCACTGACATGACCCAACATGGCTGGAACTCCATCAACAGACACAGTAATGCAGTCTTCCCGCTTTAAATTAAATTATTCATTAACCTTGTTGAAGACGTCATTGCCACGAGCTCTCGAGAGTAGAACGAAACAAGATTTCCCCTTTAACTGCATCAGAACCTTTGTAGCGAATATACATCCTCAGCTGCGAACTGCTACTGACATCTGTAATCTCATCAAGCTGAATACCAAAATGTTTGCTCTATTTTATTGAAGAAATCACTTGTTCCTTCACATTTTCTGCTAGGATGGAAAATCTCTCTTTTACAATTTCTGCAGACAATCGCACTAAATTCAGTCGCGTGGTTTCTTTCTGACCACACATGATCTCTGCCATTTTCACAGCTGCAAGTTTAACCAACTCCTGACCAACAGTATGTGGTTTCTTGTTTCGGGCAATCAACCAGCCACTTCAGAGCTGGCCATTGATGCTGAGCGTTGATCAAACGTACTTCCCAAGTTGCTGTCCAGTCTTTGCCTTTTGACAGACTTTTCCAAATTCACAAAGTATTCTCGCAGTTTGGAAGACAGATCTGAGTGCAAATTATCCAAGTGTTTCTTCAGTTGACTCCTTTTGAAAGACTCTGCAGTCAATACTTGCAAACACACAACGCACTGTGGTTTCATTTATCCTTTGTATTCTATTTCTGTGAAGCCATAATTGAGGAACTATTCTTGGTATGTCTTTTCCCTATTTGATGTCATCTGAATGGTAAAAGTGAAAATTATTGAAAAAAAAAACAGATGGATAATGTGATTTTGGCATATTATTTAATTTCAACATTGTTACTCATAAAGACTGGGATACAGAAAAGAAATCAACAATAATAGAATGGAATACAAAATTAACAGAAAGACGCCAAACATTTATATTATTTGAGCACGTTCAAATATATATAAAAGGGGTCATAAATTCTAAAAAAAAAAAAATATTACATTGTACACTACTAATTGTTATGACAAATCATAAAACACTACCTTACCTTGGTCATCGAAAGTCTTAAACTTACTAAAATAAACAATGAACTTCTACTGACTGCAAGCAGAGACAATTATTGATAGCAAGATAGAACACTAGACCGAAAGTTAGGTGATGGTGTGTCACCATTGGGACGTGCGTTGTCGCGCCAGCTCCCGAGTCACTTCTGACACTCGCGGTGTTGCCAGGAGCTGTATTCCTTACCCGTTTTGCATCATTGCCAACTTAAGAAATGATCCCTACAAATTAGATTTTTAATTTTACTGAGAAACTACAAATTATTTGTTTGAAAAAATATAACTTTCGTAATTTGCCTCGTTTATTATATGATAAATTTTTGTGCAATTTTATGTATATGTTTATTGAGCCTTCATTACCCCCGAGATTTTCATTATTACCCCATTTGGGGTAATTTACCCCAGTTCTGCGACCCCTGCTTTAGTGGATAGTTCCACTGTGACTGCCTCCTCCTGCTTCAACTCACTTGACTACAGTATATAACCAACTTCTCCAATCATATGTTGTATTTGTGTCAAGATTGATGAATTGCACACATATTCCAGGCTGAGGGACTGATTACCTCAAACTCCTCTCTTTACACCTTTCTTTATATTAGACTGATGAAGCCACTATGTGGCGATAAGTTTCCTTAAAGATTCCCATATGTCGGACAAGTGTCTTATTCTTCAATTTGTCAGTTTTCTAAAACATTTATCAAACACACCAGTGAGTGTACCTCAACCGCGATACAACATGAAAAGAACGGGAACAACTGAGAGAGAGAGAGAGTAAGAAGATGCCAGAGGAAGGAAGGGGAGACTGGGCAGGCACCAATAGAGAAGCGAGCGCAGCCACGGGTGGAACAACAAACACAACCGCACCCAGAACCATCTACAGTATCTTCTCAACCTCTACTACCCCACACCAGCCAAATACAAAAACCATAAGCAAGTCACATTCCACACACACAGTCCCCACCCAATGGGAAGGCCAGAGCGAGCCCATGATTCACCTGGAGGTGTGGAGAGGCCAAAGCCAAGTGAGCGTGAGCATGGTAAATGTTTAGAAGGTAAACACAGGAAAGTGGGGAGCTGAGCCGAGGAGCCAAAAATGAATAAGCATGGATAAGTAGAAAGGTCCAGCAGGAATATGAGAATGATATAGCATCAAAAGCCAAATCTGACCTAAATTTGTTATACAGTCACATCAGAAGGAAAACAACAGTCAAGGATCAGGTAATCAGGAAGAAGGAGGAGAGCACACAGGGAGCAACCAGGAAGTATGTGAAGAGTTCAACACATGATTTAAGGAGGTATTCATAGTAGAAACAGAAAGGCTTCCGGTAAACCTAAGTGGTAGGGTACACCAGTAAATACCTGAACACACCGCACGCAACCAAGGTGAAGAAAATGATAGGTGAACTATATACTTTGAAAGTAGTGGACCAAGATACAATCTCTCCTTGAGTCCCGGGAGAGGGATTAGGCGCAGTGTGTGTGTGCCACTAACAACAATTTTCAATGAATATATCGAAACACGGCAACTGCCTGAGGTGTGAAAAACATGAAATGTAGTCCCAATTTTTAAGATAGGAGATAGATGGAAGGCACTAAACTACAGATCGGCGTCGCTTACATGTACAATTTGTAAAGTCATGAATATTATCAGAAGAGTGGTGGAGTATCTAGAGAGGATCAGGCTCATACATGACAACTAGAATGGTGTCCTGGAAGGGAAATTCTCCGTCACAAACCAACTGGAGTTCTACGACAAGTTAACAGAAGTAAGACAGGAGAGAGAGAGAGAGAGAGAGAGAGAGAGAGAGAGAGAGAGAGAGAGAGAGAGAGAGAGAGAAGGGGATGGTTAGACTGCATCTTCATAGAATGTAAGAAGGCATTCGACAAACTACTTCACAAGAGACTGGTTGAAAACCTTGAGGAGCAGCAGGAATACCAGGGAAAACACTGCAAACGATCAGGTAATATCTGGCAGGAAGTGTTGTTATGTGACGAGTTGTCAGACTGGGCGCATGTGTCGAGTGGGGGTCCCACAAGGGTCAGTCCTAGGCCTGGTGCTGTTCCTTATATATGTGAATGACATGAAGGAAGGGATAGAGACAGAGGTGTTCTTGTTCGTAGATGATGTGAAAAAAATGAAGAAAATAAGGCAGACAATGATGAAATAAGCTTACAAGGGCATCTGGACAGGCTGCAAGCTGGTCCGACAAATGGCTCCTGGAGTTTAACCCCACCAAGCGCAAAGTCATAAAGCTTGGGGAAAGACAAAGAAGACTGCAGACTGAATACAGCTTAAGGGGTCAAAGGCTTCAAAACTCACTCAAGGATTTTGAGGTGATCATCATACCGAGCACATCTCCTGAGGTGCACATCAACCAAATAACTGCTGCAGCATTTAGGAGCTTGGCAAACCTAAGAATAGCATTTCGACATCTAAATAAGGAGACATTGACGACACTGTACACAGTATACGTCAGGCGTATATTGGAGTATGCAGCAACAGTATGGAACCCACACCTGGTCAACCACGTCAAGAAATAGGAGAATGTGTAATGTGTGCAACAAGACTAGTCCCGGAGTTAAGGGGTATGTCCTATGGGGGAGAGGTTACAGGAACTCAACCTAATGACATTGGAGGACAGGAGGCATAGGGAGTACATGATAGCGACGTATAAAATACTGAGAGGAACTGACAAGGTAGACTGGGCTAGAGTGTTTCAGAGATGGGACACAGGAACAAGGAAACGCAACTGGAAGTTAACATCTCACATGAGTCATAGGGAAGTTAGGAATTATTTCTTCAGTCTTAGAGTTGTCAGGAAATGGAACAATCAAGAGAGTGAAGTAGTAGAGGTACGATCCATACATAGCTTTAAGATGAGATATGATAAAGCTCTTGGACCAGGGAGGTGCCTTTCAAATCCAGTAATTAACACAACAGGCCAAGTAATGAATAATAACATTATCATTTCAGAGAATATAAGTTATTTAATATTTAACCATCGTGTATTATTTGATACCCATTGTGCAACAAGCATTACCTTATATATTAAACATAGTCATTATAATTTTAAAAATAAAAAAAAATGTAAGAAAAGTATTGGTATCGGTATCCACCGTAAAGTGGGTAACGGTATCAGCAAAAATATTGGTATCGTCCCATCCCTAATTATAATAAAATAAATATTATATTTAGCTAACACTTGACTTTTAATTAGTTATCCCGGTGTGTGTACGTGTTTCAGCTTCAAATACCTCAGAAAATAATGGAATAAATATATACGTATTATGCACTCAGAAAAATATATTTGTAACAGAAAATGGTAGTACTGTCCTTATGTTATCTTATCGTAAGATCTACATAAATAAAGCATTGACAACAACGTCTACTTATTTTAGTGCAAGCTGTATATACCTCAGATAACTTAAGTCATTATGTACTTATCATTAACGGTTGTGTCAGCAGCGTCAGCCAATTAACTGTTTTCTAAATCATTTCAATAAACTGTTCATAGCCAATGGTGAGATGCCTACGCAAATTTTAGGAAAAGATGGAACAGATGGGTCTTAGTTTTTAGCTCAAAGCTCATTACTACGGTAAAGCTCATTACCACGGTAAAGCTCATTACCACGGTAAAGCTCATTACCACGGTAAAGCTCATTACCACGGTAAAGCTCATTACCACGGTAAAGCTCATTACCACGGTAAAGCTCATTACCACGGTAAAGTGAACACACCTCGGAGAGTGTATAGGTGGGGGTTATGGAGAGAGGTTTTTGTGGCTGGTTTAATCATCAGAGAAGATTACCTGTTTAGGGGTCCTTCCAAATTAAAAAATGTGCATTAATAAGCGACTAATGGCTCTGGGAACTGTAATGCCTGTTGACAATAGTAAGAGTGAAGTAGTCATTAGACCTACGATGAGGCACAGAAGCAGCGATCACTGCTTGTAGGTTCTGAAGGTTGAATGTTGACCATGAGGTGAAGATGAAGGTTGCATGCTGACCATGAGGTGAAGATGAAGGTTGAATGCTGACCATGAGGTGAAGATGAAGGTTGAATGCTGATCATGAGGTGAAGATGAAGGTTGAATGCTGACCATGAGGTGAAGATGAAGGTTGAATGCTGATCATAAGGTGAAGATGAAGGTTGAATGCTGACCATGAGGTGAAGATGAAGGTTGAATGCTGACCATGAGGTGAAGATGAAGGTTGAATGCTGATCATGAGGTGAAGATGAAGGTTGAATGCTGACCATGAGATGAAGATGAAGGTTGAATGCTGACCATGAGGTGAAGATGAAGGTTGAATGCTGACCATGAGGTGAAGATGAAGGTTGAATGCTGACCATGAGGTGAAGATGAAGGTTGAATGCTGACCATAAGGTGAAGATGAAGGCTGAATGCTGACCATGAGGTGAAGATGAAGGTTGAATGCTGACCATGAGGTGAAGATGAAGGTTGAATGCTGACCATGAGGTGAAGATGAAGGTTGAATGCTGACCATGAGGTGAAGATGAAGGTTGAATGCTGACCATGAGGTGAAGATGAAGGTTGAATGCTGACCATAAGGTGAAGATGAAGGCTGAATGCTGACCATGAGGTGAAGATGAAGGTTGAATGCTGATCATGAGGTGAAGATGAAGGTTGAATGCTGACCATGAGGTGAAGATGAAGGTTGAATGCTGACCATGAGGTGAAGATGAAGGTTAAATGCTGACCATGAGGTGAAGATGAAGGTTGAATGCTGACCATGAGGTGAAGATGAAGGTTGAATGCTGACCATGAGGTGAACATGAAGGTTGAATGCTGACCATGAGGTGAAGATGAAGGTTGAATGCTGACCATGAGGTGAAGATGAAGGTTGAATGCTGACCATGAGGTGAACATGAAGGTTGAATGCTGACCATGAGGTGAAGATGAAGGTTAAATGCTGACCATGAGGTGAAGATGAAGGTTGAATGCTGACCATGAGGTGAAGATGAAGGTTGAATGCTGATCATGAGGTGAAGATGAAGGTTGCCGGACGTGTGCCCATAGTTGTTGCACCTTTTCTTTCGTCCGGGTGGGAGTACATGTTGTCAGAGTATTATCTGCTGTACTCACCTATTTGTAGTTGCAGAGGTCGAGTCACAGCTGTGCCTCTATGTGTTTATGTTGTGTATATACCATGCATTTATCAAACCCTGTTTCCCTATGTACATATTTTGCATATTTTTTTATACTGGATTTGTGAATAAACAGTATTGTTTTGCATATGTCAGTCACTGCACCTGGTGATGGGCGGGGCTCCGTCTGGGCCAGCGGGCACGGGAAAGACAGAGACAACTAAGGACCTGGGTCGTGCACTTGGTATGATGGTATATGTCTTCAACTGTTCCGAACAGATGGATTATAAGGTAAGTTATTTCATCTCCACTATTTTCTCTTTCTTCATCTTATTAATCATCTTTAGTGCTTAGTTACCCATTTATGTCACTTGTTTGAATTCCTCTGCAGATTCATGACACTGCAACAACACTCATTTCGTGTAAGAAAGGTATAAAATACCGACAATATGAAAGTTAAGACACATGTGCAACATCTGGATATCTTTATTGTAGACGTTTCGCCATCCAGTGGCTATATCATGACACTGCTCCATTATGTCCTAGAATCTGTATTGATAAAGCCACTGGATGGCGAAACGTCTACAATAAAGATATCCAGATGTTGCACATGTGTCTTAACTAACACTCATTTCAGTGAAACGATTTAAAGCTTTACCTCTAGGATTGAAGCATCATGCTTGCTGACGGTTATAGAAAAATCCTGATAGTGTTTACTCAGCATCCTCGCTGTTACGGAGTTCTTACAGCTATAAGATGTATTCTTTTATAAAATAATTCATTTAAAGAAATCTTTCCCATTTTCTCCATCCTTGTTGTGATAGTCGTGTGGCAACATCTACAAGGGTCTGGCTCAGACTGGAGCTTGGGGCTGCTTTGATGAGTTTAATAGAATATCAGTTGAGGTGCTCTCTGTGGTGGCCGTCCAGGTTAAGAGTGTACAGGTGAGCTACCATTAAGGTTCACACTTTAATTAGCTTTTGTATTTAGCAAATATCATTAAATTTCTAATTCATGAATTCTCGTTATATTGAATAAATTAATGTTTTTAATATTATCATATTTCTGTTAAATTTCTATATTTTAATTTATCAAATACATCAGACATTTTAAGCTATAAGTTTAAGAAAATCATTGTTTTATTAATGTCTTTACAATTATTGTTAATACATTATATATTTATTTTCATTGTAGGACGCCATTCGCAACCGCAAGAAGATGTTCGACTTCATGGGAGAGCCGATCCGTCTGACTTCAACAGTGGGAATCTTCATCACTATGAACCCAGGTTATGCAGGACGTACCGAGCTCCCGGAGAACCTTAAAGTCTTATTCAGGTCAGTTGTTAGCGTAATTAATTGTCGTGGAATTAAGAGGTGACGGAAAATGGATTACATTAGATTATATTCATTAAGTGGTTCACCACTCAATCCTCTGTCTGCTGAGCGTGGAAAAGAGACGCTATTAAATTGTACAGTACCAACGAAGGGGCTTTTACTAACTGAGGTTAAAACGCTTTCCTAGCTAAATTTACCCTAACTATAATAACTTTACCTGTTGACAGACCATGTGCTATGGTGGTGCCAGATCTGGAGCTCATCTGCGAGATCATGCTGGTTGCCGAGGGTTTCATTGAAGCCAAGGTTCTGGCCAGGAAGTTTATCACCCTCTATCGACTCTGTCGTGAGTTGCTTTCTAAACAGAGCCACTACGACTGGGGTCTAAGAGCCATTAAGAGTCTTCTGGTAGTTGCTGGCTCCCTCAAGGTACAGTATCTTACTGGACTTAAAAAAGTATGTATTCTTTTATGCACATTATCACGAAATTCTTGGCCACGTGTCCTCCGCGAGGCAAATGACTGAAGACTCTTCGGTTTTCCTGATGTTAAGTGAAGTCCATTAGCTTGTTGTGTTGTGCATAGCAGAATAACAAAGATCCATATTTAACTTACCTGTAAGATTCCTGAAGTGTGTTTGTAGTAGAATCCTTACTTAAATATTAACGAGATAATTAAGCCCGTCCTCGCAGTATTTTCAAGTGAGCCCAGTCTATGATTATGTACCTTCACAATGATATATACTTCCATAGGCCCTTTTGCACTAAGTCCTGTTTCTGCAACGGTTATTTTTTTTATTGTAATATCTATATAGTCAGTTAATTAAACAGCGTCCTTGTGTTTCTTGTAGCGCGACGACCCTGAGCGTCCTGAGGACCAAGTACTAATGCGAGCCCTCAGGGACTACAACGTACCCAAGATCGTCACCGATGATGTTCCCGTCTTCATGGGCCTCATTGGGGACCTCTTTCCTGCCCTGGATGTTCCTCGCAAGAAAGATCTAGACTTTGAAAAGGCTGTCAAAGAAGCTGCGGTAGACCTCAAACTACAGCCGGAGGACAGTTTCATTCTCAAAGTGCGTCAAAGTAGAGACTTTGTAATTGGCTGTCATTTTAATAGGAGACGTCATAATTTGTAACTTATACTCTCTCGTCTCAAACAAATTGACAGAATATAATGAATACTATTAGACTTATTACAGAATATTTATTTTATAATACACACGCACACACACACACACACACACACACACACACACACACACACACACACACACACACACACACACACACACACACACACACACACACACACACACACAGTTCGAACAGGATTCTGCAAGAGAAAGCACGACTGAGGGACAAACATGGGTACCAGAGAGTATACCTCGATCGCAACAAAACACTAGAAGAAAGAACTACACTGAAAGAGAGGGTACAGAGACGCAAGGAGAAACGAGAGGCAATGATGAAGATGAGCAGGACCCAGACACAGGAGGAAGGGCAAACACACCCCGCAGAATCTCCCACCGAAAGACTCCAACCGCTACAATCCCAACGCAACTGAGCAACCCAAACCACAACCCACTCACTGTTCCCTCTTCCAGCAACACCCACATCACAAACATCACCCCAACAGCTGTCCCTTATGGGCATTCTGACCCCACCCCCGTTATCACAAACCCCATTTACACCAAAGCCCCCCATAGGCTCCCACCAAGGCTCCCGCTCCCCAGCAAGGAATATACCAAGTGTTGGATGACATACATACAGATGAGGAGGAGGTGAAGAAACTGCTAAGGGACATCGATACCTCAAAGGCAATGGGACCGGACAACATCTCCCTGTGGGTCCTTAGAGAGGGAGCGGATATGTTGTGTGTGCCACTTACGACAATCTTCAACACGTCCCTGGAAACTGGGCAACTACCTGAGGTATGGAAGACGGCAAATGTAGTTCACATTTTTAAAAAAGGAGACAGAAAAGAGGCACTAAACTATAGACCTGTGTCACTGATGTGTATAGTATGGAAAGTTATGGAGAAGATTATCAGGAGGAGAGTGGTGGAACACCTGGAACGTAACAAGAGTATAAACGCCAACCAGCATGGATTCATGGAAGGAAAATCCTGTGCAACAAACCTTCTGGAGTTTTATGATAAAGTAACAGAAGTAAGACACGAGAGAGAGGGGTGGGTTGATTGCATCTTCTTGGACTGCAAGAAGGCCTTTGACACAGTTCCTCACAAGAGATTAGTGCAGAAGCTAGAGGATCAGGCTCATATAACAGGAAGGGCACTGCAATGGATCAGAGAATACCCGACATGGAGGCAACAAGGAGTCATGGTACGTAAATGATGTATCACAGTGGGCACCTGTGACGAGCGGGGTCCCACAGGGGTCGGTCCTAGGACCAATGCTATTTATAGTATACGTGAACGACATGATGGAAGGGTTAGACTCAGAAGTGTCCCTGTTTGCAGACGATGTGAAGTTAATGAGGAGAATTAAATCAGATGAGGACCGGGCAGGACTTCAAAGAGACATGGACAGACTGGACACCTGGTCCAGCAACTGGCTTCTCGAATTTAATCCCGCCAAATGCAAAGTCATGAAGATAGGGGAAGGGCACAGATGACCGCAGACAGAGTATACGCTAGGTGGCCAAAGACTGCAAACCTCACTCAAGGAAAAAGATCTTGGGGTGAGTATAACACCGAGCATGTCTCCGGAAGCACACATCAAACAGATAACTGCTGCAGCATATGAGCGCCTAGCAAACATGAGAACAGCGTTTCGATACCTTAATAAGGAATCGTTCAAGACACTGTACACCGTGTACGTCAGGCCCATACTGGAGTATGCAGCACATGTTTGGAACCCGCACTTGATAAAGCACGTCAAGAAACTAGAGAAAGTGCAAAGGTTTGCGACAAGGTTAGTTTCAGAGCTAAGGGGAATGTCTTATGAAGAAAGGTTAAGGGAAGTCGGCCTGACGACACTAGAGGACAGGAGGGTCAGGGGAGACATGATAACGACATATAAAATACTGCGCGGAATAGACAAGGTGGACTAAGACAGGATGTTCCAGGGAAGGGACACAGAAACAAGTGGTCACAATTGGAAGTTGAAGACACAGATGAGTCAAAGAGATGTTAGGAAGTATTTCTTCAGTCATAGAGTAGTCAAGCAGTGGAATAGCCTAGAAGGTGATGTAGTGGAGGCGGGAACCATACATAGTTTTAAGACGAGGTTTGATAAAGCTCATGGAGCGGGGAGAGAGAGGGCCCAGTAGCAACCGGTGAAGAGGCGGGGCCAGGAGCTAAGACTCGACCCCTGCAACCACAAACAGGTGAGTAGAAATAGGTGAGTACACACTCACACACACACACACACACACACACACACACACACACACACACACACACACACACACACACACACACACACACACACACACGCACACACACACTATAAAGGGATTCATGGAAACCGGTTAGTCGGACTTGAGTCCTGGAGGTGATGAGTACAGTGCCTTCACTCTGAAAAAGGGATGGAGATATGTTGCAGTTCTTGAACTGTAGTATCGGCATGCCTCTGGCAAGACAGTGATAGAGTGAGACATTGTGAAAGTCTTTCTTCTTTTTTGGGTCACCCTGCCTTGGTAGAAAATGGCCAATGTGTTCATATATATATATATATATATATATATATATATTATATATATATAATATATATATATAATATATATATATATATATATATATATATATATATATATACAAGGAATTAGCAAGAGCAGGCGAAATGTGCACAAACACTGATCTCTGGCTGAAGGAGACTCGAAACTACGAACCTTGGAATAAGGTACGCAATGCTTTACCAATCTTCCCACACTGGACCAATACCTTGGAGTCCAGCTTGCGCTAGACTTTGATGCAAGGCAGCCAGCTTTCAGGGAGAAGGTTTACAGCTTTTCATCTCATCCCCTGCATTCATCAGCCTTACTAGAGATATTAACAACGCAAGGAATTCGCAAGAGCAGGCGAAATATACACAAACACTGATCTCTGGCTGAAGGAGACTCGAACCTACGAACCTTGGAACAAGATACGCAGTGCTTTACCAATCTACCCACACTGGACCAATACCTTGTGTATATTTCGCCTGCTCTTGCGAATTCCTTTCATTGTTAATATCTCTAGTAAGGCTGATGCATGCAGGGGATGAGATGAAAAGCTGTAAGCCTTCTACCTGAAAGCTGGCTGCCTTGGATCAAAGTCTAGCGCAAGCTGGACTCCAACGTATTGGTTCAGTGTGGGTAGATTGGTAAAGTACTGCGTACCTTGTTCCAAGGTTCGTAGGATCGAGTCTCCTTCAGCCAGAGATCAGTGTTTATATATATATATATATATATATATATATATATATATATATATATATATATATATATATATATATAAGCATACATACATACAAACATACATACATACATACATACATACATACATACATATAAACATGCATGCATACATACATACATACATACATACATACATACATACATATAAACATACATACATACATACATACGTACATATAAACATACATACATTCATGCATACATACATACATATAAACATACATAAATACATACATACATACACACATACATACATATAAACATACATACATACATGCATACATACATACATATAAACATACATATATACATACATGCATACATGCATATAAACATACATACATACATACATACATACATACATATAAACATACATACATACATATAAACATACATACATACATACATACATACATACATACATATAAATACCACATACATTACATAACATACATACATAATACAATACATACATACATACATACATACATACATACATACATACATACATACATACATACATACATACATACGTACATATAAACATACATACATACATATAAACATACATACATACATACATACATACATACATACATACATACATACATACATACATACATATAAACATACATACATATAAACATACATACATACATACATACATACATACATACATATAAACATACATACATATATATATAAACATACATATATACATACATACATACATATAAACATACCTACATGCATATATGCATACATAGATACATACATACATACATACATACATACATACATACATACATACATACATATAAACATACATACATACATACATACATACATAACATACATACATACATACATACATACATACATATAAACACAAATGCATACATACATGCATACATACATAAATATAAACATACATACATACATACTTACATATAGACATACATACATACGTACATACATACATACATACATATAACAACATACATACATACATATATACATACATTACATACATATAACACATACATACATACTACATACATACAATACATACATATACATACAATGCATACTACATAATACATACATACATACATACATATAAACATACATACAAACATACATACATACATATAACATACATACATACAAAAACATACTTCATACATACATACATACATCATAATAACATACCTACATGCATACATACATACATACATACAATATCATCATACATATACATACATACATACATACATACATATAAACATACAATATAAACACAACATGCATACATACATACATCTACATACATACATTAATAAACATAACATACAATACATACATACATACATACATACATACATACATACATACATACATACATCATAAACATACATATATAACATACATACTATAAAAACATACATACTCAACATACATACATACATACATAAAATACATACATACATACATACAAACATACATACATACATAATACATACATCATATAAACATACATACATACATACATACATACATACAATAAACATAATCATACATACATACATACATACATAACATACATAAAAAAACATACATACATACATACATACATATAACAATACATCATATA